TACATTCTAGCTGTGGGTCCTTCTAGTTGTGGTATATGGGACGTCGCCTCAACGTGGCCTGAAGAGCAGTGCCGTGTCCGTGCCCAGGATCCAAACCAGCGAAACCCTAGGCCACCAAAGTGGAGCACATGAACTTAAGCAGTTGGCCACGGGGCTGGCCCCCCATTTATTCTTTACAGATTTTAAAAGGCACATTACTCAGAATCTAAACTCATTCTACCTTTTGCCTGATTCTCCCTTCCTAAGGGGTTGCATTTTCTCTCTTCAGGAATGTTACTTATTTCTCTCTTTTTTGTGTAAAGATGAAGGTACATTCTTTTGCCTAACAATACCAAATATTTCCACTCCCTTTGCACTGAATGAAATTAATACTAATTAGTACTTTGCTAAAAATCTCTGATTTCTTCAACTGCTTGCCCTAAAAATAATTCAAATGTAATCAGTATCAGTTGTTATCATTATATGCACAAATGGCATCCAGAACATCTGTAACAGGTATTTTGATAATAGGGGAGAAAAAGAAAAGAGACTAGAAATCAAAAGCCTGGATTTTACTTCTGGAGATATCATTTACTTGTCATGTGACCTTAGGTCTATCACACCCTTTCTGAGCCTAAATTTCCCCATCGATAAAATGAAGATAATGACAACAGCCCTGCTTTCTTCAGTTAAGAAGCTCAAAAGAGCTCAGGTATGTGAAAGCACTATGAACTCTGCAAAGGATACACAAAAGTAAGCCATTATTATTGATCATTCTATCTCGACAGATTGTTCCTTTTTAAGCTTATGAACTTCACTCAGTCACAACACTCCTCTCTACTTTGCCTCTAACTTATGTGACATGTCAAATTGCTATAACAAAAGCGCACTATGGGGGGCCCGGTGGCACAGTGGTTAAGTGCGCATGTTCCGCTTCGGCGGCCTGGGGTTCGCCGGTTTGGATCCCGGATGCAGACATGGCACCGCTTGGCACGCCATGCTGTGGTAGGCATCCCACATATAAAGCAGAGAAAGGTGGGCACAGATGTTAGCTCAGGGCCAGTCTTCCTCAGCAAAAGGAGGAGGATTGGTGGCAGATGTTAGCTCAAGGCTAATCTTCCTCAAAAAAAAAAAAATCACATTATGTTTTACTAGGGAAACAAGTCAATCCTCTATTAAATGTGTTTCTTTCTAAAACCTAAAATCAAAGGCAAACTATAGATTTATTGAAGTTTCTTCCTGCAAAGCTAAATAGCAATGATTCATTTTTCAGGAAGCTTGTCTGAAAAATAATTCTTGTTTTCTTCTTACAGTCTTATTTCCTATACATTATCACAGAACAAAACTAAAACTTGAAGCAACTATGGTTCATATGCTAAAAATACATACTGCCCATGATAAAAGTAGATATCAGAGTTTAGATCATCATACTCTATCCTAAAACTCAAAATCACCCAATTTTAAGAGTGAGAAAGGAACATTAAGAGAATATTTAATACAGAGAGAATATCATGGAAGACCCCTTAAGAAACCTACCAACGAACGACCGAGGTGACATGGAGACAATGAGAAAAGAAGACACTTTTCCCTGAATGTCATTTGTACCTTTTGAAATTCAAGCCACGTGCAGTTTAAAAACGTATGTTATTTTATTAATTCGTTATAAATCATTGAGGGAATCCAAAGCCCTCATTTTCTAGAAGAGAAAACTGAAGCCGAAGAAGAAGATGAGCTACTCAGTATCACACTGCTGGAGAGTGAAAAGGCCGGGCCTAGAACTCAGGGACCCAGTGGAAGCTTCCAGTGTTTTCCCCCTCACCACAATACCATGTGGTAAAACAGGAAACGTCATCTTATAAACAATGAAAGCATTACTACAATCCTTTTCAGAACTGTGGTCTTCCCAAGTCCTGGTGACTCATATGACACAATGCTAATCAGGAACATTTTTGTAGAAGTTCTATGGCCAAGGGACAGAGACGACAACCCTCACTATCAAGACTCACACCAAGCATTAAGTGAGTTAATAAAGACAGTGTGTGGGGCAGCGTGTGGATGGTGTGTCTTTTCTCAGGCATAAGTGGATTCAAGCTTTAACCAGACTAGAAAAATGTTGCAGCTTTCATTATTACTAACAGTAAGGCTGTGTGATGAGGCAGAAGAGATTTAATAGTTACAAAGAGCTTATTCCTGGTGAAGCGACTCAGAGGATATTACGCAAAAGAAGACTAGGTGAAATTCTAGTTTGAAAGAAGCCTTACCAATTCCGCCGTGGAACTACTCTCAAACAGGAGAACTAAGGGAATCATCAAGGCCCCTCTGAGTCCCCAAATCCTCAAATACAGAGAAGCAAGGCAGCTTCCGCTCCTCTGAGCAATCCAAGCATACTTTCCCTCTTGGTAAAAAGAAATATTAACTTTTTCTTTTAAAGGGCACAAATGCAAGGAAAACAGCCGAGTCTCCACAGGAAAGGATAAGAGAAGCCAAAAATGAAACTATTCCAAAAAATATCTGAGCCTGCCTGCTTGGAACAGAAGGATCTTGGAAGAAAGGAAATGTATTACAGGGAGTGTTCCTTCTTTCCTCGGTCTGTACACAGCCTTACATTTGGAGAAACACACACATGTTGGCTGTAATCAGCCCTTTACTGTAGCTTTTAATATTTGCCAAACATACGGTGGTCATGTACTAGTTAATCTAAGTATTTTTAAGCGCTGGGTAAGTCTGTTTGCCAACAATTAACTGATCTGATGAAACATTTAAAAAAGAGAACACAAGAGATGATAACAAGCCTGGTCAAGACATAACTTTCAGCCACTGCTGTTCATATTTCTAAAGAGAAATCATGGCATATGGATAAACCACAGACTAGGACTTTCTTAGTCAACTCTGAGTCACAAGGTTACACCACACTGAGAGAGGTCTCTCTCACCACACCTTCAATTTTCTATCAGGAACAAAAGGCCAGGGGGAGCCCAAGTTCTAGTCCTAGCAAACCACTGTCATCTCCAGGGAACCTCTAATACAAAACGCCTAGCCACAACAAAGGTCCTGAGAGCGTTCTTTCAAATTCCTTCTCCAATTTCCACTAAATATTTCAGATATAGGACAAATATTTGGAGTTTATTTGTTAATAATTTCTATAGTAGTCCCCCCTTATCCACGGGGGATACCTTCCAAAACCCCCAGTGGATGCCTGAAACTGCAGACAGTACCAAACCCTATAGACACTACTTTTCCCTGACTAACGGGCTAACAGGCCCGCAGGTATACACAGTGGATGCCTGGACAAAGGGATGATTCACGTCCTGGGTGGGACAGAGCTGGACTCCTCCAGGTTTCAGCACTCAGAATGGCATGCAATTTAAAACTTATGAGTTGTTTATTTCTGGAATTTTCCACTTAATATTTTCCCACCACGGTTAACTGAAACCAGAGAAAAGGAAACCACGGATAAGGGGTGACCACTGTACTTCATTGAAAATAAATCTGCCTCATGGTGAAAGATCACATAACTAAAAGAAGAAAAGAAGTTCACAAGAAACTTAGAAGTCAGATGTTATCTTTCACATTGAAAGGTATTAATACCAAAAACTCTACCAATGTATTTCATCAAAACCATTAAAGCCAGAAAAGCAAGAGCTATTCCTCTCTCTCTCAGCAACAAATGAGTTCAGCAGTGCCAGAAGCTGCACTATTATCACCTGCAGCAGGAGAAACACTTGGTGACTCAAACATTCCCCTTGGATGTCAATTTTAAAATTAAAGAGCTCGTTTCTTTGGGAAGAAAAAAAGCAGAGAAACTTTTAAATTATCCCTTTAAACTTCAGGTCCGATAAATTAAAAACCATGTTGCCTTTTGGTCTCAATTTCAAAGTCAATTCCATTTCTTTTTTCCAAAATCATGAGTCATATCAAACGCCTTGTACCCAAGAAATTTACTCCCTGAAATTCATTCAATTAAGATTTATTGAGTGACCACAACCGAACAAACACCATCTGAATTCAACGAAGATGCTGAATTTTAACTTTATCTCCTCCTACCACTTCCATATTTATACTTGTAAACCTAGAATATTTTTCTCTCGACTTGAAAAATAAAAAGAGCAGCCAACAAATTTCACAGAGCGCAGCTCTTATGTCGAAACCGAATGAAAGAGAAAAATGGGTGTTCTCTACCCCGACGCCTCCTTCGTGACACTGCTTTTAAATGGTTTAGAATTGTTTAAATATCGACTGGTCTAAATATCAGACTAAGTCTTTACACGCTAAATGTTTATTTGCTATGGTAATGGAATAAAAAGTAGGGAATACAGTTAGCGTGTATGATTTACATCCTCAAACAAAGCCAAAGTTTTAAGCCAATGATTTCACACCGCTCCCCATTAACTTTTCATTCACTAGCTAACGAGAAATTGACAGGCTGAGATTTCGGATCGTTTTATTTCCCAGGCTCTCCCTCCGGCGGAGGCAGGAGAAAAGGGGCAGGGCGGAGAAAGAGGAGCACCAACAAGGGGCATGGTACGCTGCAAATACGACAGACAATCCTGAATGAGAGAGAATTACTATGAAGCAGACAGCAAAAGACTAGCTTTGCATTTTCAGCCGTCGGACTCTGCCGCAGAACTCAGCACTGCCTGCCAACGCAACGGCATCAGAGCAAATTATTAAACGCCACCCACAACCTTCCGCTCCAACCCCCGGGAAAGACTTGGTCCACCTCCGTGATGACACTGCTCGGCAGCGCGAGGGGCAGGGTAGCGCATGTCGAGCGAGCGAGGGCCACCGAGCGCAGGACGAGCCCTCGAAAGCTCCACGAGTTTCCCAAGCAGGGGTCCGAGCACGAAGCGCCCACCCGGCGCAGGCCGCACAGCCGCCGCTCCCCTGCACGGGGGTCCTCCGCCACGGGACGCTCCCCGAGCGAGCCCACCGCCCTCTGGCTCCAGAGCTCCCGAGGGACCGCCGCGGTCTCCGTGCCTGCGCCCCGCTCGAGACGAGACCAGCCGCCACCCCTCTCTGACCTGTCCCCGCGGGATCCCAGCCGGCAGCGCGACGCCTCCATCCCCGCCGCTGCGGCGGAGGCAGCCACCGCCCGGCCCGCGACGCCGCCGCTAGGGTGGCAAGCCTGGACGGCAGCCGGCCCCGCCCCTGGCAACGCACCCCGCACTGTCGCCGCCGCCCATTGGCCCACGTGCCGCCGCCCCCTCCCATTGGCTCCGGCCGCCCGGCGCCGCGGGGGGGTTGCTAAGGGCGGAGGCGCGGCGGTGGGAGGTGCCCGCGCGGAGCGGGGCTGGCGCGGGGCGCGGCGCCGGGAGCGGCCCGAGGCCGGGAGCGTCTCCGCAGCGGGGCGGCCGGTCCGTCCGACCAGCCGCCCGTCCCCGCGCCTCTGCCGCCTGTACCCGGAGCCCACCCGGAGCGCTGCAACGTCGGGACTGTCGCAGCTCTGCCGGCTGCCTCGCAAACCCGTCCCTTCCCTGACACCAGGGCCTTGCTGGGAGCCCCGCTTGTCCCCTCTCCAGCGGCCACTCCCAGTTGAATGCATCTTTCCTATTGTTACCTGGCCTTGACTCAACGGAACAAAACTCCTCCACTCCAGCCCAAGCTTTTAGAGCATTCCAGACCTTCTCTACGGACTCTCCTGACAATCTTTTCCATTCCCTCTCTCTACAGCCTATGGACTGTCGGCAAACATCCACGTCCCACCTTGAGATCCGCTACGTAAATCTTGTCGCCAGCCATCACTTCCTTCCTCACCACCGACTTACACAAAGCTTTACGGTCCCCACAAAACATCCCGAGTTACCGCACACCGACTTCAGGCTACAGCATCCCGAGGTCAAAGTTGTTTCCACGTTGGTTTTGAATTCCTAAGAGGCATAGAACTTGGCACAAGCGAGGAGAGCAGAGCCCGGCCCCGCTGGGTCAGCCCCACCCACTGTGTAAGCCCGAGCACGGGTCATTATCTGTGCTTCAAATTCCCGTCTGTAAAATAAACAGAATTCCCCCCCCCCTCCCCCCGCTTGTCGAGGTCTGTCGAGGTCGGCTGGACCTGACACAGTGGGTTCTTAAAGCTGAATGAATGGAGTTGAATGAGATGCTATTGGTATTGGGGAAAGGACAATAGAAACATGCTGTTGACCGGCAGTGCTGCATTAATTACAAGAAGGAGTATTCTCTGAAACGTTTCCACATTTATTTACGTACATTCCAAACAGTTATTACAAGAAATCATTTTCCCACCCTATTTAATATTTAGAGATTTCTTCTGTTGGAAATAAAAGAACACAGCAAACCGAAGTAACATACCTCTGACCCTCCAGCGCCCCTGAGCCACCGTATTCACTGCCACAGGCCTGCCGCCCCCTCCTCCTCTTGGCCTCTCAGCAGATGAGCCAGGTTGCAGAGGCCGCGGCGCAGCTACACAAAGTCACAGAATTTGTTTTGATTTTTTCCATCCATCAGGTCATAGAGGAAGCTGCCACTGAGCCTGACACAGAGTTAGTCCTCAGAAATGTGGCATGAATTAGTTTGAATGAGGTGACTAAAGGATTAACAAGGAGTGGTTAAAGGAAACGATTAAGAAAGGCCTGTGGAGGGGCAGTCAGAAGTAGGGTTCTCTAAAAGCTTTCTGCAACCACTTACTTACATACATTTTAAACAGTTCCCACAAGATATTTTAAAATTTTAAACAGTTAATACAAGAAAAACATGAAGTGAACGGTTTATGACTAAAAACTGTTTATGATATATAAAAAAGCAAATCTGGGAATTTAATTCCCTATGACTCCAGGCCTCTAGTTAAAATATCTTTATGTATTGACGTTATTGGTATTATTTCCATTTTATTCTATTGATGTGCTGTCTTGTGAGCCAGAAAAGTGACTTTAGCAACTCTGAAAACCAGCAATCAATTCCTTGAGATTACTGTTATTTGAGAAATCCAGTTAGTTTTGCACAAGGAACTGGCTTTTGCTCAGCTTCCCTCTCTCCCTGAGGTAAGTGAACAGGTGCCGCCGTCTCCTCCATGTGACCTTTATCCCGTACTTCTCCTCAGGGGTGTCTTGCACCAGAACAGGCCCAGGCTCCGGGCTCATGGGGGTCCTAGGGTGAGGGGAACAGCCTGGAAGGCTGTTTCCTCCCTGATCTGGGTCAATGGGCCGCTCCTTCACAGAAGATGACTCTGGGGTCAGGATATCAGGTGGAATGAACACAAACGGCAAGTTTTGAAGTTCATGTGCTGACAGCTCCCCCCAGCTCTGGGGACTGAGCATTGGAACTAAGGGTCTTCCGGAAGGGTCCTTTCCTGATTGATTGGGGCACTCTCTGGTTAAGGGGATCCCAAGTGCGGCTGAACTGGAAGAAGACTGTGGACTCTCAAATGTTAGATGTGGAAACTTGGAGGTGGTTGATTTTCGACTTGAATGTCTTGCCTGGTCTCGGTGATGACGTTTCCGCTTGGCTGGGAACCAGCTTTCTGCTGTTGCATCAAACTGAGGTGATACCTAAAGACCAAAAAAAAAAGGTGAGGGGAGCCAACAACCAAGTACAAACCTGAGGAAGGCAATTACTCCAATGGCCAGAATCCTAAATGGGGGCCCACTATGGTAATGGACACAAAACAAAAACATCTGTCTAATGGGATATTGATGGAAAGAGATATGAGCTTTGGGCCAGTCATTCAATCTGTCTGGCTTTCACTTTCCTCATGTGTAAGGAAGGGGACAATGCCTCTTCACTTTATCACACCAGACGGCTGCAACTTGTTTAAGTATCTTTAAACTGACGGCAGAGATCAGCAGTCCTACTCCCCACCGATCCCCAGCACCCAGCAGAGCGCCTGGCCCCAGGGAAGGCCCCCAGCAAAGAATGAATGGCCGAATGCAAGAATACTGAGCAAGACCACGTTTGGAAAGCAACTAGCATAGGGCCTGGCACATGATGAGTTCTCAAGAAATGTTCGTTTCTCCTCTCATCCCGAGGATTCTAACATTTAAGTTTCTTCTATGATCGTGAAGCGAGTATCACGGTTCTTCCAAGCCATCCCGAACAAGTTAGTTTATGAAGGACTCTACTCAGAGTTTCTGCTTTTTTCTGGCCCTTTTGCTGTCCTACTTCCCTGACATACAGCAGCCATATTCTCTCCCCAGGGCTTTTAAACTGTCCAAACATGACATATGCCATTCCTGTGGCTGTTCTTCAAGCTCAGTCCATTACACACTATGCAGAGCACTGCGCCAACCGCCTCTCACATGAAGCTCAGGGAACAGCCTCATTTGCACTCGTTCTGCCAGCTCCTGGGTAGTGAAACTCTTATAGTGATCTCTCTCTCAGGAATGGGGGGAAAGACTCCGATCCCAACCACACCATGCCTCAGTCTGAACTAAGAAAAGAAGATACGCCGGAGAAGATGGCTGATGATGGATCAAAGAGTACCTTACCTCCCTGTCCCTGCCCCCATGAATCTTCTTATTCTTTGGAGGCCCTGGCTCGAGGGGCAGAAGGGTCAGCATTGTGAGAAGCCTAACAGAGTAGAAGTCAAAGTAAGAATCCATGGCCTACCCAGGAAGTGATGGCGTTGTGGTCAATGGGCTTGCTGGGCACCTGTCTAGTGTGCGTGATTGGAAGCTGGGGAGATCCATAGTGGTGTTTGGGGCCCTCCAGTGGTTGGTGGTGGAATAGCAGCTGGGCTTTCTGGCAACTTTGGCGGCGTTTTCTTCTGGGAGGCATCAAGTGGTGAATAAAGAGCAGTTAGTAACCACATCGTGCTGGTTGTAGTCAGGTCAAGGGAGTGGCTCCAATTCCAACCCATGCCTGCAGAGAAGAAACAAACGGTGGGAGAAAGTAATTCTGATGATTCCCCAGCTTTTCCTCATCCCCTGCCAGCCAGTTCTACTCTCAGCTACCACCCCTACCTTGTGACTGTGGGTGCACAGCTTCCTGTACACACCATCAAGTAAAAACATGTGGTTCACATTCAATGACATTTGCTCAGTGGGCATTTATTGTGCAAGTGTTCAGCACCATGCTGGGCGGTGGGAATTTAAAGATGAATAACCATTTATTCTATGATCGTTTATTGAGTGCCAACCACTTGCAGAAACACAAAGGTCAGACTGTCCCTGCATTCAAAGAGCTGAGAGTCTAGCAGAGGGAGACAGACAATTAGAACAATGGGAAGAATGCTTCCACTCCTCCCAGGGGAGGCTTTCCAGAGAGGGTGATACCTGACCCGGGTGTGAGGGCTAGGGAAAGCCAAAGGCAGGGCGGGCACCGAGGAGCAGCACGTACAAAGGCAGACGCACAAAGGAGCACTGTGGATTCAGGAAATCACGGACTCCATATAGCTGGACACGGCGTACGGAAGATGAATGGCAAGAATTGAGGCTCGACGGGGAGTCAGGGTCGGGTCAGAAAACCACAGGCTATATGGTTTGGGCGTTAGCCCAGGTGGTCATTGAAGACTTTCAAGCAGAAGGGTATGATCACACTTGGATTTTTTTTAACTTTTTACCCTGGATAATTTTGAACACACACCAAAGCAGAGTGAATACTACAGTCAGCCCCATGTAGCCACCACCTAGCTCCGACCACCATCAACCCATGGCCAATCCTGAACCATCCAGACCCCTATCCACTTCCCCACCCCTGTACTGTTTTGAATAAAATATTATATTCCTAGTTATTATGTCATTCCCATTAACACAACTAATATACATACATACATATATCTTAATATTATTAAATATCCAGAAGGGTTCAAATTTTCAACTGTCTCATAAATGTCATAATTGGTCTTTTGTTTGTGTTTGTCTTTTAGACAGATCATCCTGGCGACAGTGTGAAAGGAGAGACCACGTACCCTGGAAGTAGGGAGACCAGTTTCAGGAGGTTGCTGTGTTACCTAAGTGAGAATGATGGAGCCTGAACCCAGGTTGTCAGGGGAGATGGGAGGCTGGAGACAGAGGCAGGGTCAATAGGACCCACAAAGTAATAAAAAGTCTGAAAAAGTGGCCATTGAATCTAGTAACCAGATCAACTTTAGTAAGAGCTTTGACAAGGGAATGGTGGGACAGAGGTCTGAAAGCAATTCGCAGGGAGGTAAACGGGAGGTGCAGCTGAGCATCCTGGAAAGTCACACAACAGGGCAGATTGGTTCCACTATACATTCATAATTCATTCATTCAGTCAACAACAAAAAAGTAACATACTCTGACTGAGGTTACTAAGCAGTGGAGATACAAGTAAAGAAAAAAAGAAGAACAAACTCTCCACCCTTGGGGAACTAACATTTTTAGGGAGAACACAGGTAATAAATACATCTGTTTGTTCATTTATTCATTCAACAAATATTTATTGAGTGCCTACTGTGTGCTAGGTACTGTTCCAGGTGCTGGAAATATCCACCAGAGAACAAAATTAAATCCTTGTTTTCATGGCGCTTACATCCTAGTTGGAAAGTGATAAAAGGAACAGAGAAAAATCAAACAGGATAAGGCATTGAGCTGGGTGCTGTTTCAGACAGAGTTGTCAGGGAAGCCCATGTGAAAAAGTGATACTTGAGCAAAGACCTGAATGAAGAAAGGAGAACAAGCAAACAATAGAAAGATGTGAGTGAAGAATATTCCAGGCGAGGAGAATAGTCAGTGCAAAGACCACAAGGTGGGAAGACATCTGACTCGTTCAAGAAACAGTAAGATCAGCATGGCTGAGCCGGAGAGTGGTGGGAGATGAGAACCAGCTCAAATGACACAGGGCTTTACAGGTAAGGTTAAGGACTCTCGACTTAATTATTCTTAGCGTGATAGGAAGCCACTGAAAGGTTCTGGACAAGGAAGTGACATAATCTGATTTATACTTTCAAAAGGTAAGTCTAGGTGCTTTATGAGAAAAGGTGGGTTGGGGAGAGGTGGATGGAGAAAGGAAGCAGGGAGCCCAGTTAGAGGGCTGCTGTAGGAGTCCCTGGAGAGATGACAGCGGCAGCAACGGCTACAGTGAGAATGTTGAAATTAACCAGCCTCAAAGGACACACGTTGTTCAGCAATCTGACCATGTTTCCTCGATCAACTCGGTTTCCACAGATTATCTTAAAACTTTTCCACTTTCTTAAAAAAAACTTCTTAAAACTCCCCTTCTCGATAAATGACCTTACTTCTCACTTCACAAAGAATAAAGGAGACATCAAAGGAAATTCTCTCGTTTTCCAGAAATCAAACATACAAACCCACACAGCCCTGCACCCACCCTCTTTCTCTCTGCTGTAACTAGACGTCAGTCCCTTTTGCTGTCTAAGGTGCTCTCCTCTCGCTGTGCTTTGGAGCCGTCCTCACTCTGTATACCTTTCTTAGGCAATCATCTGCTCACATCTCAATAGCCACCTAGAAGCAGACGACGTAAGTATTTATATATTCAGCTTAAAATTCTCCATACCCAGGACCCATATATCCCACTGCCTACTTGACAACAGCTAGATGTCTCAAGTGCACCTCAAATTCAATACGTTTAAAACTGACTTCATGAACATTTCCCCTGCACCCCCTCCACTAAAGTGATCATCTTCCAGGGCCCTTGAATGGTATCATCATTCGTCCAGCTATGCAGCCAGAAAGCTTGACATTGGCCTTCCCCTCTCCAACCCAACACCAAGCCCTGTCAATACTCCCTCTTGAACGTCTTCAATAATGCCCCTTTCTCCCCTCTCTCTCTACCTCTCCCCACCCTCCTTCCCTGCCACTCTTCAAGTTCCAACAATTCTGGCCAGGAGAATTGCAGTAACCTAACTGGTCTACCCTAATCCACTCTGGCACCCCCTGCAGAGGGACCTTTTAAAAATGCAAATCTGATCTTGACTCACTACTACGGAAAATGTTTGATTTTTGGATAAGGACAGAACCCCTCAGTTATGGCTAAGGTCCTGCTTCCTCTGGCTCCAGCTTCGTCTCACACCACACTCCGTTGAGGTCTCTTAGCTCAAACCCCTCAGCTATCCTTCAGCCTTTGTCCACAACACGCTTCCTCCTGCCACACAGCGTTTGCACACATTATTCCCTCCGCTTTGAGGGTTTCCCTCCCTTCTTTGCATAAAGGCGTCCGATCTCAGACCAAGCTTTAGTTCATCAGAAAAGTCTTTCCCGACCTATCAAAGTCATCACTGACCTCTAACTTATCACTTCACAACTGTAGTTCTCTATTTGCTTATTTGATTCTTTGAAACGTCTGTGCTCCTCTCCTCCCATCAGGCAAGCTCAGGACAAAGGCTCTCCTCGCCACCGCGTCCTAGCGGGGCCTGGCACACAGTAGGTGCTAGACAAAATCTGCTGGGTAAGTGAATGAATACAGTGCTGCCTTATATAACAGACTGGCTGCGGCGAGGAGACAGATCAGTAGGTGAAGACTCGGAGCGGAGGTGGGGCGTAGGGAGTGGTGTAATTGTTTAAGATGGAGGGAACTCGAGCAAGATTACAAGCTGTCCTCAAAGAACTCTCCGTCCAGTCGGGGGACCAGACGACCGCAGTCGGGGGGAAACGGAGAACAATCTCTCCAATGAGGAAGCCGCCCAGGGTGGACTCGAGGGAGGTGGGGAGATGCCGAGGGGGGCGGAGAGCAGTGTCGCCGGGGTCACCCGGAGGCGACTGGGGGCGCAGGAGGGAGCAGGCCGAGGGCCGGCCCCGCATCCCCAGCCGCCCCCGCCGCCCCGCCGGCCCGGGCCCCGACCGCGTCGCCCCTCGAGCCGGCAGCCGCCCAGCCTTACCCGCCTGTGCGCCGCGCCGCTCCTCCCGGCCGCGCCGCGTTCGAGCCCCGAACGCGGAGACAGGGGCCGGCGCCGATTGGCGGCGCGCCGTCACGTGACCGCAACGCTCCGCCGGCGCCAATTTCAAACAGCGGAACAAACTGAAAGCTCCGGTGCCGACCCCACCCCCGGCCCCCGGCCCGCACCCCCTCCCCTCCCGGGATCCCCCGGGGTTCCCCACCCCTCCCGCACCGCTGGGGACCCGGCGGGCCAGGCGCGAGTCCTGCCCGGGGACCCGGCTCGGCCCCAGCTTGGAGGAGCCCGGACCCGCCCTAGGAGCCATAGCCCAGCGGCGGCTGCAGTCGGGAGGTGAGCGGGCCGGAGGCGTGGAGTCCAGGCCGGGCCTTGGCAGAGGCAGGAAGCAAGGTCTCAGGCGCCGAGGTCAGGGGGTCTAGCACCAGGGCGCAAGCAGGAGTGGAGGTCTGGGACCGCACGGGAAGGAGGTCTGAGCGGGGGTGCAAATTTTTTCTACATCCAGCCTCCTAGCCTTATCCTCACTTCTTTCCCAAAGCACCCCTTGGCTGGCCTTCCCTGGAAGTTTGACCTCTGCACCGTGCCCGCTGTCTTGGGAGGGCCAGCGTGGCAGACTGTGGCTGGGATGAAGATTGAGCTCATTCTGCATTAAATCAAAGACAAACCTGCCCACACACTCCCCTGCTCCCAGGTGCTCTCACCACTCTGCAACACTACCTCCACTCCACCCTTTTACAGAGCTCTTTTCCTGGTTCTTGAGAACCCGCTGAAGTTCCCCTGATCGGGATGGGGATGGGGTCAGAGGAGTCACTCTGGAAGTCTCCTGGGCTAGATAAAGTGTTCGCAATGATAGGAAAGAGGCTGGTCAGAGAGTGGAGAGGAAAATTAAGCCTTGGACCAGGAAGATATCTTTTGAGGGTGGGGAGGGAATAATAGTATCTACTGACTGATGGGGGGAGGGAGGGAGGCCTGAAGAGATAGGAGGTGGAAGTAAAACTGAGATTTGAAGGTAGAGGAAACCTAGATATAAAGGAAAGGGAGGAGGCAGGGTGGGGAGGGCCTGTGAACTCTGAGCAGACGGCAAGTGTCATATGAGTGTGACAGTCACTTTTAGGGAGATAGCAGATGTCCTAAAAAAGAGACAGCCCATTCCTCTGTCAAAGTACCTCTAAATGGCATTACACAATTTTACATAATGGTTGAGTATTCCATGTATCTATTAAAATCAACAAAGCACAATTTTTTTTACAGCTAAAACTTTTCCTTAACATTACAATACCACCTTAGCATACTGGTGATAGCACATTCATTAGTCAGGAGATAGGGATTATGGTCTTGGTTCTGGAAGAGAAATTAAGTAATACAGTAACTAACGTGCTTAGAAAGTTAAATTATGAATAAGCACATGTAAGTACTAAAATGTCACTATATAAATATTTTGCAGATTGTGAAAGAAAAATGTACTTTTTTGAATCAATGCCAGGATAATAGCGAAACGTGAACTGAATGGCGCTGCTTAGCACTACGCAGTGCACAACCTGCACGACTTTACTTGGGCCTTGAATAGAGCGGTTTCCCTTTTATCTGAGATCTTGTGAACTGAGAGATGATTTCTTCAGCGATGGGGCAACAGTGCAGTAGGACAATCTGCCTTTCTCCTGTGATTCTACTCACACTGACTCTTATTTGTAAACTAAGATGATATAAAAATATGAGGGCTCTGTTCTAGAATGGATTATGGGATCAGAGTCTTGTCAGGACTCCTAATTGCCAAACGTCCTCCTGTTCCAGATTGCTAGCCAGTCACGGCAAGTGATCTGTGTTATAGCAGGCGGGAGGCGGGAATAGAGATTCCCACATTTTTATAACTGTCCCACTTGTTTCTGTAGCCAAACATTCTTAAGAGTCCAGAAGACCTTTGGCTGTGTTGACCTACATTCAACCCAATCCCGCTTTCCCCCTTTGAATTGCTTCTGTTTGCTTCAATTTTAGCTTTCTTTTGTCAGTAGAACTCATCTCCTTATTGTCTGAGGTGTCTCAGGGGGCCGGTGGGCTCGTGCTTCTGGTCCTAGGTAGAGGAACGCGTCTCTCTCTAACAGAACCTCCTTCTCAGCCTAACAAATCTCTGACATTCTGCTCCTCCTTGTACTTCCCAGAGTCCATGTTTGTGGTTCTCAATGGAGAGTGAAAGCACAGATTCATAATGAGAACCAGCCCCCGTCGGCCACTGATTCTCAAAAGACGGAGGCCGCCCCTTCCTGTGCAAAATGCCCCAGGTGAAACATCAGAAGAGGAGCCCAGGAAGCCCCCTGCCCAACAAGAGCCTGGTCAAGCGCAGGCCTCCAAGGAGGTGGCAGAGCCCAACTCTTGCAAGTTTCCAGCTGGGATCAAGATTATTAATCACCCTACCATGCCCAACACCCAAGTGGTGGCCATCCCCAATAATGCCGATATCCAGAGCATCATCACAGCATTGACCGCCAAAGGAAAAGAGAGTGGCAGCAGTGGGCCGAATAAATTCATCCTCATCAGCTGTGGGGGAGCCCCTACTCACCCTCCAGGACCCCAGCCTCAAGCCCAAACCAGCAATGATCCCAAAAGGACAAAAGTGATCACTGAGACCCTGGGACCAAAGCCTGCAGCTAGGGATATCAATCCTCCTAGACCAACTGGAGCGCTTCCTGGGCAGAGATGGGACAGCGGTGGTATGTGGTCTGGAGGTCAAAGGGGTGAGGACCCCAGGCTTTCCTCTCTGGTGGCAAGGACTGCTGTCCGTAATGTTGATACTTACAACAGACAGGTGTCTAGCCCGGACCAGGGGAAAGTCTTGTCTTTCTTCATCCTGAAACCCTGACCCAAATCCTTTGGGCACTGTCAAAAGTGTTGCAGTTATAATTTAGCGTATCTTTTGCCTTGTTTATATTGGAAAAGGATTTGTTTATTGTTTCTGTTTATCCTTCCCATTGACCAAATAAGGAAGTAAGAATCTTTCTCCATCTTGATAAAGCAGAAAACTGAAGCATGAGGCGGAAAAGCGAATTTCTTTGTGCAGATGATAACTCTTCTGTGAGGTTGCCTTGACTGCTCTCTAAGGCTCAGTCTGGCTCAGATTGAAAGGCAACTTGATCTATGCTCCTGAATTTTTCCTGAATTTCATAATGGGGGAGAATACCTGAGGGCTGCAACCGATTCTGCATGTGTTCCTTGTCCCTAAGGGTGGGGGTCTTGGAGAGGTGACCCCTAACCACCAATATTGATGGGCCTGTTGGGCATCAGATCAGGCAGCTAAGTGGCATCTTGGATTGTTTCCCCTCTAGCTGGCGGTGAGGCAGCAGGCTGCACTCTCGACAGCAGCTTGACCAACATCCAGTGGCTTGGGAAGATGAGTTCTGATGGGCTGGGCTCCTGCAGCATCAAGCAAGAGGAGAAGGAGAATTGCCACTTGGAGCAAAGTCAGATTAAGGTGAGCTCTTCTGTGACGCACTAGGGACATCCTCTGGTGCAGGGAATTTCTAAGACAGGGAATGGACTAAGTGGCCTGTGGAGCAGAATTTCTAGGTTCTGGTGTTAGCACTTATGCACTAATTCTGTGTAACTTTTGAGCTACCTTCCTGTCTGGGATCTTTCTCCCCACATCTGTGAAATTTCCTTGAGGGCAGATTCCTCTTGCTCTCTGTATTCTGTCAGCACTGACTTTAGTACTCTGCCATAGGTAGGTACTTAGTAGGTATTCAGGAAAACGTGAAGAAGTCTTAGTTTGGAAAGCAACTTGAACTTTAAAGAGGCATTCCACAGTATGAAAGGAATACAGCATTTTTAACAGGATAGTTTTATTAGAAGATATATTAATATCAAATAAAGTGAGTTAGATGTGAATTTTAAATACTTTCCCAGCAATCAGAATTGATTTGACCCAGTCGTGTGGCCTGGCTTGTTTTTCACAGTTGCCACACACCTAGATTCTGCTGTATATACCTTTTAATCATTCATTCAACAGCCTTTAAAAGTGAGTTACATGGACATGTACATAAGTAAAAATCAAGCTGTTCTTAAAACTTGTGCACTTTATAAAGTTACAGCTCAATTTTTTTAAATGTGAATGATCAGATCTTTGCCTAAGACTTAGCCAGACGTGTGCTTTGCAGACATTTGTGTCTTACTCTTGGAAATAGTTCTCTCATACAAACGTTGAAAGGAGTTGGGTTTATGCACATGTGCATCAGGAGTAGGAATCAGACTAAGACCCAGGTGTGAAAAATGGGTATGGTTTTCGTATAAAATCAGTGCTTTAAGAATCATAATATATACCCAAAGTTTTCTGAGAGGTTTCAGTTTGCAAAGACTGGACTTCTGCTTATTATTGGGCAGTATCTTCAAGAAAATGAATGATAGAGCAGTGGTTCCACATTGTCTAGGGACTGGACTAGATCATCTCTAAGACCCTTCCTAATCCTTAAATTTTATTTTATGGCATAGTGGTCTCGATGAGTTTGTTTTTAGCATGATTCCATGGGATAAAAGGTTTCTCTAGGGGATGTTGTTCAAGGTGGGGCCAGGGGAAGTCTCATGAACTCTTCCATGTCATTCCCTTGTCTCTTTCCCTTTGGCTTCTCCTAACCCTCAGGTTGAGGAGTCGCCGGGAGCATCAGCATCCTGGCAGGACTCCATGTCTGAGCGGCCGCCATACTCTTACATGGCCATGATACAATTCGCCATCAACAGTACCGAGAGGAAGCGCATGACCTTGAAAGACATCTACACTTGGATTGAGGACCACTTCCCTTATTTTAAGCACATTGCCAAGCCAGGCTGGAAGGTACTATGTTCTTTAACAAGCAGTCGAGGTCGCTGTGGCCCGCCAGTTTGTCTGCACTGGCTTGCGGCGGTCTATGTGCGGTGCTCTGAGGGAGCGGTTAAATGCAAAGGATGCTAGAACTATAACAATGGTATCTTTTGGATTGTGACTCAATCCTGCTGAATCCAGGTAAAATCATCCGAAAGAGCGCTGCCACCACTTCATCCGTCGTTACCCAAGGTTTATGGAGATTCTTCAGCGTAGCACTAAGCCCACTTGTGCCACATTGAACAGCAGCTGGAGTGACTAAGTAGCTTTATGAAAAAATCTTAATGAAAAAGAAACGCTGTCTGTGAGCCTCATGACCCAAGATTCACCTCCTGTAATGTCACACATCATCTCTAGAAGGCAGGGATTCTCTCTTCCTTTTATTCCCGGGGACACTGAGATACTGGGAGTCATCGTAGCTCACACTACAATGTCAGAGCCACACTTAGGTCTTCTGACAGACACTCAATTCCAAGCCAAGGTTTTTCTGTTTTGTTTTCCCCACAGTAGAACTCTTAACTTCACACACATACCTCAACTAAATTTCCTAGTTTCTTGATTTCTTAACCCACCGCTCTTGCTATTGATTATTGCTTTACAGTCTCACTCCAATTTCCTAGCCCCTGACAGCTATCTAGGTCTTTTCTTTATCACCAACCTGAGAAATGGCACCCGTCCTTATCCTCATTGGATAGATGGGTTTGTGGCTCCGGGGGCCGGCTCTGCAGTGTGGAGTGTCAGGGAGAAAGTTGCCAATAGGCAAGGTTGAAACACCAAAGGTGATGTTTCTGAAGCTAAAGTACCTGACAACCGGTTGTCTTTCTCTCCTTTCAGAATTCCATTCGCCACAACCTTTCTCTCCATGACATGTTTGTTCGGGAGACATCTGCCAATGGCAAGGTCTCCTTTTGGACCATTCACCCCAGTGCCAATCGCTACTTGACATTGGACCAGGTGTTTAAGGTGAGCGTCCTGGTCTCATCTCAAGAGGGCCGGAGCTGGAGGTCATAATATCTATCTCAGAGGGAAACAAATCCTCCTGTGATGATCTTACATGATCAGGGCAGAGAGAGAAGCCAGCCAGCCTAGGTGATTTGCATAAAACTCGCTGAATTAGGTATAGTTGACAGACTCCAAATGGCACACTGACGGGCCATGCCAGGCCATGGAGAGCACAGCTCTGGTCCAAATAGAGGACTTCCTGGGGCAGTGCTTCCCTAACTGCCTTGTGGATAAGAATTGCCTGGGATGCTTGTTGAAATACAGCCCCCTAGGCCCTCTCTTGGGGCTTCTGATCCAGTGGGTCTGGGATGACCCAGCAATAAGTATTTTTAAGAAGTGTCTCAGCTGATTCTTGCAGAAAGTGTCTGGAAAAGCTTGTTCTAAAAAAACCCTGTGTTAGGCTGGAGACCAGAAACTGAGCCACCAGAGCGTCTGTTCAGAATGATTGTTTGGGGATTTCAGAGTGCCCACAGGCTGCTGGTAGCCACAGCCGCTCTCCTGGGAGGGACATTTGTCCAGGGCGACCCTCAGCATCAGTCAGGAATAGGTATTTTTCCCAGGTCAGATTTCTGGTCAGACTGACCACGCTGGTGGTAACTTCATCTCATTTCTCTCCCACAATGCCTGACCGCCACCAGCCACTGGACCCAGGGTCTCCACAATCGCCCGAGCACTTGGAATCAGTAAGGTTCTTTCCCTCTGGCTCGGGGCTTGGCCTTGTCTTCCTTTCACTGCTCAGCATGGCTTTAGTGGACAGGGATAAGGCAGGAAGCAGGGGAAGGGAGCCTGTGGCCTCTGCCAGCCCTAAACACGGGGCAGCCCGAGCTGCTGGGAGTGAGCAGTTTGTGACCGCACCTCACCTCCCCAGGAGCAGGGCTCACACCCACTTCTCCCCCGCCACGGGCATCGTGAAGGTGCCCTGAGCAGAGGAGGGCGTGGCGGGGACACGCCCTGGGCTTGGTGCTGCGAGACAGCAACCACGAATGCATGGCACAGGCCTCGCAGGCGGCAGTCTCTCCTCTCACTTTTCTACCTGGTTTTCTTTGCCACTCATAGAGCCACATGCTTTAGCATCCCCTGGGGGTGGTGAGGACACATGGATGAGGCGGTAGGGCCGTCCTGCCATCGTACGTCTGAGTGCTGGCCACCTTTTCCCACTAACAAGGCTCTGGAGACAGTGCTCACCTGCATCCACACCCCAAACCGGCTTTTTCTTTCTGGGCTGTCAGTTAGCTCAGTGCCCAGTACCAGAGCGGCTGGTGGGTTCTCCTGCCTCCTCCCCTGCCTTATTAACCCAGGTTTCTTTCTCTCCCCACCTGCACAAGCAGCAGCAGAAACGACCCAATCCTGAGCTCCGCCGGAACGTGACCATCAAAACTGAACTCCCGCTGGGCGCACGTTAGTATGGGAGAGCGGGCCTCAGGCCTCGTCCTTGTTCTGGGGGCATGGCTTTAGGGAGTCAGACTCCGGGATTCTGGCCCAGCTCAAAAGGATCTGAGCCCAGAGAAGGAGAGCAAAGCTCCTGGGATTGAGAAGGGGCGTGTCCCCGGACCCCTGCTCCTCATCTCTCCCGTTTCTTCCCAGGGCGGAAGATGAAGCCACTGCTACCACGAGTCAGCTCATACCTGGTGCCCATCCAGTTCCCGGTGAACCAGTCACTGGTGCTGCAGCCCTCGGTAAAGGTGCCATTGCCCCTGGCAGCTTCACTCATGAGCTCAGAGCTTGCCCGCCATAGCAAGCGAGTCCGCATTGCCCCCAAGGTAAGTGGCTTCTGTTTTTCTCTGAGGATTAAAAGTGTTGGATCTACAACGTGCAGAGTACTCTGCTAAGTGTTCCTTGAGAAGTTTATAAATCTAGTTGGCTAGACAAGGCATAAACACATAGGAAAATTTAAGAGCATTTTAAGAGCTAAAAAGGAATTTGCATTACAACGTAAGTGGTGTCAGATGGCCCATAAATACCTGATGAGTTTGTAAGAATTCGGATGAGGGTGATTCCAGTAGATGGGCTGGGTTGGTTAAAGAAGAGTTCACAAGGGAAGTGGGTTTTAGAAAGAAGTAGGTTTGGGTAAGCAAACAGGTGTGGAGAGAGCATTCTCATGCTGATACCACTGAGGCAGGAAATGCCAGTTTGTACCATAACAGTAGAGTGATTGGCCCAGGCTAACTTGGGTTTCTCAGCCTCCAAACTATTGACATTTAGGGCAGGCTAACTCTTCGGGGGGTGGGGGGCATGGGGGGTGCTGTCCTGTGCACTGAAGGCTATCTAGCAGCATCCCTCGTCTCTCCCCGCCAAACGCCAGGAGCACGCCACCATGGTGACAATGAAAACGTCTCCAGATGTGGCCAAATGTCTCCTGGGGGAGGGGGGGAGGAATCATCCCTGGGTGAGCATCAGTGGTCTACCTGGAGGGGAAGGTGTGGAGGGTAAGTTAAGACCATATGGTGATGGGCTTGACCCTGTAGAGAAGAGTTTGTGAGCAGCAGCTGACCTGTAACAAAGTAGAGGATAGGACCCCCTGGCCCCCTCAGTGAGATGGAAATACCTGGGCTCTGGAGTTTAGAAAGACATGAGTTTGCTTTTATTTTCTTTATTTAAAAAATATTTTTTAAATATACATAAAATTGTACATACCAACATATATAATTTTACATAAATGCGTGGATGTGACTGTAGCGTGTGTACTATTTTGTTTTAATGCAGTCTTTTTTCCCCCTTTTCTTCTTTTTTGCCTCCCTTCCCCTCACCTTCACCCAGTCCCCCCTGCTCCCCATGATAACCCATGTTGACAATTCAGTATGCATTCTCCGTATTTTATCCACGCTCTTAGTGTAATATACATATGTACACAGTCATAGCCGTTTTATATACACATGCAACGCACAGACCATGGAAAGTGGCATCGTATTACACACACTTTTCTGCCTCATGGAAGTTCTTCCAAGTCACTTGGCAGAGCTCTCGGTCATTGTTTTTTAATAGCCACATGATATTCTGTGGTGTGGCTATGCCGTAAATTTTCCAACCATTCCACTTTTATAGGCACATTTTGTTTCTAGTTTTTTTGCCCTATGAACAACATTGCAATAAATATCTTTGCAAGTATCTTTCTTAATAGTGCTTTTGCTTCTATGAGATAGAGTCCCAGACATGAGATTGCTGAGTGGAAAGGTATTTTAAATCTTACTAAATATTGCTAGATTGGTTTCCAAAAAATCTGTGATAATTCACATTTCCACCAGCAATATGTGGTAAGACCTATATCTTTGCCGGGAATTGGTATTATTAGTCTTTTAAATATTTGCCCATCTACTGTATATAAATGATTTCTCCTTGTTTCATTTTATCATTCTTTGCTTATCAATAAGTGAGCACCCTCTCATTACGTTTGGTCACTTGGAATTTATGAGATGCTTATTTATGGACATTGCCCATCTTTCTATAAGGTTTTGTTAATAATTTGTGAGTTTGTTATTAAAATATTAACCTCTGTCTTTTACGCCAAAGATATTTTTTTACTTCTGTTGTTTGTTTCTTAACTTCGTTGATGGTATCTCTTGCCACAGTGAGATTTTAAATTTTTATATAGTCAAATATGTCTCTCTTCTCTTTTACAGCTTCTGGGTTTCCAGTCTTGGTTAAGAAGGTCACCCCCACCCTCAGATTGTACATGTAGTCTCCTAGATTCTCTTTCAGGATTCGTATGGTTTTAATTTTTCTGTTTACATCTTTGTGTATGGTATAAAATAGACAATTTTATTTTCTCTGTCTTTTACCCCTGGAATTGAACTACCATCTTCATCATATATTCTCATATTAAATAGTTTTTAAGACTTAAAAAAGACAAAAAAGAGGATCAGTACCAGCATGTCACTTATCTTTGTCATGCTCTTGTGCCCCGCCTGTGACTGGGTTCACTCGCAAGGCCGTGAGAGCTCCCTTTCACCTCATCCCTGCTTCCCTTTCAGGTGCTGCTGGCTGACGAGGGGGCAGCCCCTCTGCCCACCGCAGGACCAGTGACAGAGGAGGGACTCCTGCTGGGAGAAGGGCTGTCTCCTCTGCTTCCGGTTCAGTCCATCAAGGAGGAAGAAATCCAGCCTGGGGAGGAAACACTGCACTTAGGGAGACCCATCAAAGTAGAGAGCCCGCCCCTGGAAGAGTGGCCCTCGCCGTGCCCATCTGTCAAAGAGGAACTGTCTCACTCCTGGGAAGATTCGTCCCACTCTCCCACCCCAAGGGCCAAGAAGTCCTACAGTGGGCTCAAGTCCCCAGCCCGGTGTGTCTCTGAAATGCTGGTGATTAAGCGAAGGGAGAGGAGGGAGATGAGCCGGTCCCGAAGGAAACAGCATCTACTGCCTCCCTGTCCGGACGAGCCCGAGCTGCTCTTCTCCGAGGGCCCCGGGACTTCCCGACAAGTCCCAGAGTCTGCTCTCCCGGCAGAGTCCTCCGAGCCTGCCTCTCAGCTGGGCTACTCCCAGGAGGAGGGAGGACCTTTTAAGACACCCAGTAAGGAGACGCTGCCCATCTCCTCCACCCCGAGCAAGTCTGTCCTCCCCATGACCCCCGAATCCTGGAGGCTCACACCCCCAGCCAAAGTGCGGGGGCTAGATTTCAGCCCAGTCCGGACCCCCCAGAGTGCCTTTGGCCCCCTGCCTGACTCCCTGGGGCTGACAGATCTCAGCACCACCCCACTGAAAAGTATCCCCCTCTTTGACTCACCCCGAGAGCTCCTCAATTCTGAGCCCTTTGACCTCACCTCTGACCCCTTCTGCAGCTGCTCCCCCTCACATATGGAAGTCCCCAAGCCAGGCTCTCCTGAGCCACAGGTTGCCAGCCTTTCAGCCAACCGTTCTCTGACAGAAGGCCTGGTTCTAGATACAATGAATGACAGCCTCAGTAAGATCCTGCTGGACATCAGCTTCCCTGGCCTGGAGGAGGACCCACTGGGCCCTGACGGTGTCAGCTGGGCTCAGTTCATTCCCGAGCTGCGGTAGAGACGTGACCTTGCCCTCGCTGCTTAAGCTGTCCACTCGTGCTCGTGTGGCTGGGCCGTCCGAGTCCTCTGAGTGGGAACAGCAGGCAGGGGCCGTCCACTCCACTGGCCCCATTGTGCCTGGTTATGCCGAGGCAGATGCCACGCCATAGCTGCCACTGGGCACTCTGCGAGCAGCGAGGTCCTGGTGACCAATCTCTGCCACCCTATGCTCCCCGAGAGAATCTGACCCCTCACGCTCCCTGCTAGGAACTGAAGGGTGGGAACAGCAAAGACAAGGGTGAAAAGAGATTAGGAGCTCCCCAAACTGCTTGCATCTGTGCTTAGCAGTCTCCCACCTTCCCTGCTTCTTGTAGGGTGGCCCTTGTAAATAGTGTATATTCTCCAAATTATCCTCTAATTATAAATGTAAGCTTATTTCCTTAGATCATTATTTAGAGACTGCCAGAAGGTGGGTAGGATGACAAGGGGTTTCAGTTTGCTTCTGTTCCTTGCTTTGAGTTCCTAGAGAAGGGAGGACCTGCAGTGCATGGTTTCTTCCAGGCCCAAGGTACCCGCCTCAAGAGTTCTTTACTCTAGGCACCCAGACAAGTGGGTCTGCTTCCAGGGTCCCTCTTAGGACCCCTCCTACCCACCTCCCCGTGTTTCCAAGTCAGCTTTCCTGCAAGAAGAAATCCTGGTGAAAAGGGCTCTTGTAATGGGTCAAGAGTTGAATTTGGGGTGGGGGAACGGGTGCATCTGAAGCAGAGTGTGGGTCCCAGATGTATGCCCATGAGATGTTTCTCTGATAACGTCCCTAATCATGCCAGAGAGACTAGCATTGATGAGAACTTGGCCCGAGGCTTGAGGAGGCTGGAAGGGCCCTGATCTGCCTGGCTTCCTTAGCTTGCACCTCAGCTTTGCAAAGAGCCACCTAGGCCCCAGCTGACTGCATGCGTGTGAGTCAGCTCCAGAACACTACTGTAGCTACCTACTCAATAAAGTCCAGGGTGGACATGCTGGTGTCTGTCATGTGTTGCCGTTTGGTCCCTAAGGCATAAGGAGGGGTTGGAAAAGAAAGTGGGTGATGATGAAGATGGTGGTAATGAGGGAAAGGCAGGGCACTTGAAAGAGAGTGCGAAGGGCTTTAGCTTGGTCCCACCTGCAGAGGCACACATCCTTTCTGACACAGACAGTGGCAGTTTTTCCAATGCTGGTTCTGCACAGCTGACCTCTTTTTGGGACCTCTGCATCTGCTGGTTACCTTAGGCCTTTTAGAGCTCCCCAATAAGGGAAGGCCGACACAGGGGTAGACCTCCCCCACCACCCCTGAACTTTGGGGAAGGATGAGTCCAGTTACAGGGGCCTCATGACCACCTCCATGCCCACCCCAAGGCCGGGAAGCCAGCCTACGCTGCTTTGCTCCCCCTGCCTCCTAGGCAAGTCCCTCTCCAGAAGCAGCTCCCATTACCATCTTTTGCAGTCACAACTTAGGAGTCCTATTCCCTGCCTGCCTCACCTGAAAGATGGCTGGGGCCCAAGGGACTAATGAGCTCTCCCAGAGAGAGGTAAGGGCCTTCTCCCTGCGTCACCACCCAGGAAGCATCACCATAGCAACCCCAGCAGCAAACAATGCTGCCTGGAAGATCTCCCCTACAAAGCTGCCCCTCCTGGCAATCAGGCCCAGAAGAAGAATGGCCAGTAACCCGAGATCAGCCAGAGGGTGCAGTAATCCATCCCATGTCCGAGAGCCCTTCCTGCAGGTAGGGGGTGGGGCCCTATAGGCACAACCTACCTTTCTGCACCCTACTGGGCTAGGGGTTGTCCCCCTGGGGTGGTTTATGTTTTCTCCCCAGCAGCAGAGCTGGCCCGTGAGCTTTCCGCGGTCCTCCTCTCTTAGTCCTGTGATACTGTGAACACAGAGGTCAGAACAGAGGGGAGGAGATGCCTGGTTATTACATCTCCCAGACCTACCCTCTGGGGGATCATGTAGAAATTACTTAGGTGAATGGGCCCTAGAAACAGGTGAGGTTTTGGAATCAGAGAAGTCCTAGGGGTGGTTAGGAGGGAGAGGCATTTTGAAGAACATAGTATCATGAGTAGTGCAGACAGATGGCTCATGTCCCAGCTCTGCCACTCATTCACTTGGCACCTTGGGTAGATGACTAACCTTCATTGTGTCTTGGATTTTGTTCCTTTGGGATGGGGACAGTAACACCTGCTCCTAGGGCTGTGAGGGTTAAATGAGATGTGGATAAGGATTTAGCACAGTAACACATATTTGCTACTGTTTATTTCATGGGAGATGGGGTGCAGAAATGGGAGGGAACCAACATTCTAGATGCTTCTATATTTGCTTATATTTTAATGAGAAGTGGGGGGAATGCACTGATGATGGAGAAACAAGGAACAGGAGGAGTCTGGGATAGAAAAGCACCTGGCCCCACTCTCTGGAGAACGATTACCCCTCTACCCTTGGTTCAGTAAGGGGCATTCTCCCTCAAAATTCCCTCAGGCCTGCTGTGCCCTCTTGTGCAGGGGCAACAAGATGGAGAGGAGGAGAGAAGAATGGGAAAATCTAAGTTGAGGAAAGAAGGTGGGCGATCAAAACCTGATAGATGGAAAGAGAACAAAAGAGAAATCCATGAGAATAATACAGAGCAGTCATAACTTCTGATAGGCAGGCAGGCACAGAGAAGTGGTTCCCTGCCTGGCTATCAGTATCCTAATGAGCATCCTGGGTCTGAAGGAGGCTGGCAGCTTGTTTTCCCTGCAACTCCTCCTGGGAAGGGGAGGCAGGGTGCCCCTCAGGCTCCCTTTTGTCTCTCCCTAGATGGTCCACGCCCATGAGTCTCCCTCGACCTACCAAACGTGGGCTCAACGTGAGTTCCTTCTCCCCAGTGAATCCTGGGAATTGCCTGGCTTCACCAGCCAAGCCTACCACCAGCTCGCCCTGAAGCTGCCACCCTGCACAGAAATGAAGTCCAAGGTGCGTCACCGACTCATCCAGCCTTGGAAGCCTGCTGCCCCACACACCTGGGGCTTCCACACGTGGCTCGATGTGGGGCGTTTGCCGGCCACCTTTCCCACCAGCTCCAACAGGCCATACGATAGCAATGTCTGGCGCTGGCTGACGGACTCCAGGGCCCACTGCCGCCCCCCAGCAGAGCCTCCCATCCCCCCTCCCTCCTGGATGGGTCAAAAGAGCTTTCTGACCTTCATCTACTCTACTCCTATCTTCCTGGACCCAAATAGGAAGAACCAAGTGATTTTCAGGACGGTGAAGGAACTAAGAGAAGTGGAGAAACTCAAGCTGAGGAGTGAGGCAAGGGCACCTCCACTGGATGCCAATGGCAACATCCTGCCCCCAAAGAACTTCAAGAAGTAAGAGGAGCTCCATCCTCAGTGAGCTCACCCAACCTACCCGCGTTCAGGTGACCCCTCCCGCTCTCTCATGTCTAACTTGGTACTCCAACCTTCACATGTCTGGCCATCTGCAAACCAAACTCTTTTCTGAGTGTAGCTGGAGGGAAAGGATGCAAGCAAAGGAAGGACAGCCAGGGAAAGGGCTTAAAATTTAGGGGGTACAGCTATGTACTTAACACCTGCTAGGCCCTGGGGATACAGAGAAATGTCCTTCAGTCCCTTCCCCCAAGGAGCTTACGACAGGCAGATATGTACATACACGCGTGGAAAGACAGCTACCAACACAAGCGCACACGCACTCAGTGCCCAAAGTGTGAGACAGATGGGGGTGTTGTAAGGATGTCAACTGTTAATGGAAAGACCTGAGAGCTGGAGTCAGAGGCTTGGATTAAAGTCCACACTGTGCATTTTGGCAAATTGCTTAGTTTTTTCAGACTCAGTTCCACCATTGATAAAATAGGGATGGTAAATACCATGCCTCCGTCAATGGGTGAAGATAAAATGGGTTAATGAATTATGAAAGCACTATACCAAAAAATAGATGTTATTACAGAAATCCAGGAGAGGGCGGGATTGCCGTGGGCTGGAGCGTCCCCCCAGGGGCTTCGTGAGGAAATCGGATGGAGGCTGGAAGGGTAAGTAGCCTTTGGAAAGGCGGAAAGGAGGAGCTGGAGGGTTGACTGGTGGGAACAGAGACAGGAATGTGAACAGAGCTATGTGAGCACCCACAGTTCTCCCCTGCCTGCCCGTGGTGAGAACTCACAGGTCTCTCCATCCTGTGTCGAGTCTAGGCGCTGGGCACGAGTGGCAAGAAAGCAGGAGAGGAATCAGGAGAGAACGTCTCAAACTCCAGTCCCAAGGGCGTTGAGGGGCTGGAGACGGGGGCTGTGGAGATTTTTAAGCTTTAAAAAGAAATGCCAACAGTCAGTGCTTTTGAGGGGAGATTACTCAGGACCTTGGCTTCTCTCTGCTGTCCTTGCAATGAGGATTATTGATTGCTAACATGTGCAAACACTAGGCATCCAAAGGTGAGTGAGACTTAGATCTCTCCTCAGAAGAACTCACAAATGGCAGTGCCAGATGTTGTTGTAGTCACTTCAGCTATATTACTGAATCCTCCCACTACCCTCTGAATAGAAATTGTTATTATCACCCCATTTTACAGATGGGGCATCTGAAACACAGAGAGGCCAAGTCTCTTGCCCAAGTTCACAGAGCCAGCAAGTAAGGCAGAGGTAGGATTGAACCCCAGGGAGGTCAGCTCCACAGCTGCGTTCTTTTTTTTTTTTTGATGAGGAAGATTAGCCTTGAGCTAACATCTGTGCCAATCTTCCTTTATTTTGTATGTGGGATGCCGCCACAGCATGGCTTAATGAGCAGTGTGTAGGTCTGCACCTGGGATCCGGACCCACAGACCCTGAGCCGCTGAAGCAGAGTGTATGAACCTAACCACCAATCCACCAGGCCACCCTGGTGCTGCTCCACCGGAGCTGCATTCTTTTTTGTTTTTTTAAAGATTTTATTTTTTTCCTTTTTCTCCCCAAAGCCCCCTGGTACCTAGTTGTATATTCTTCGTTGTGGGTCCTTCCAGTTGTGGCATGTGGGACGCTGCCTCAGTGTGGTTTGATGAGCAGTGCCATGTCTGCGCCCAGGATTCAAACCAACGAAACACTGGGCCGCTTGCAGCGGAGCGGGTGAACTTAACCACCCGGCCACGGGGCCAGCCCCCCGGAGCTGCATTCTTAACCACTATATGCCACTTCCCTTCTTGTCTGACCAGGGAATCAGACAAGTTCACAGCTATTTCTAATATAATATAATGTTCTATAAAGGCAGTACAAGAAAAATACACTTATTCACATAAAGAGCTGAGCACAGTGCTTGGCGTACAGTAAGTGTGTGTGTGCAGAAGCAGCGTGGCCTCTGGAGGCAAACAGATCTAGGCTGGGATCTACCTGAGTCCGTCACAAGCTTGCCGCACCGCCTTAACCACCTCAGATTCTCTGAGCCTCACTTTCCTCAAGAGCGTATTGGAGATGTGCTTGGTGCCTTGCGGGGTGGTCAGAGATTGAAGGCACAATGCTCGGCACATAGACAGGCTCCAGGCTCTGTAAACCGGGTCACTATTCCTGCAGTGTCTCCACGAGAGAAGCATCCTTGTTGCGCGTGTTGCTGCTGTCGGCCCAGCCCCTGGAGCCAGGAGACAGGAGTGAGTCTCAGGCAAGGTTTTGCTGTTCACAGAGAAGGGAGTATTTGAGCTGGACCTTGAAGGATGTGTCCAAGTTCACCAGGTGGGAACAAGGAACAGTGGTGGGAGGAAAGGCTCCTCCAATCCTGCTGTTCCTTTTGAGCAGCTCCATCAGGGGTGAAAATAAATTGTTAAAAATTACTCAAGATCAGTGAGAGAGCACATTCTGAGCATGAGAGACCCAGAGGACTTCAGACAAGGTCTAAGCTTCAAGATGCTCACCATCATGTTGGGAAACAGAACATTTATCTGCAAACCCAGCTGTTCTCAACTCTGGTAGCACGTTAGAATCACCTGGGCTTCTTTACAAAATGATGAGGTTTGAGCCCCACCCAGAAGATTCTAACTTACCTGGCCCAGGGGCAGCCTGGGCCCTGGTTGTTTTATTTTCTGAGGAAGATTTGCCCTGAGCTAACATCCGCGCCAATCTTATTCTACTTTGTATGTGGGTTGCCGTCACAGCATGGCCACCGGTGGGTGGTATAGGTCCATGCCCAGGAACCAAACCTGGGCCACTGAAGCAGAGTGTGCTGAACTTAACCACTAGGCCACAGGGCCGGCCCCCCTGGTATTTTTTAAAAGCTCCCCAGGGTGATTCTAATGTACATCCAAGCCTGAGAACCTCTGATGTAAACCAAAGACAGCAAATAGGGGGAATCTGCTGAACCAGGTGCAAAGCAGATTGAACCACACCCCAAAGCATGTTGAACCATAGGAAATTTGCCACCATCCAACTATGTTTTTAAAAAGCCAACTTCCCACTGTTGAACCTCATGCTACAGGCCTGTAGAAGAGGGATCCATCAGACCAGGTGTGGGCTGGCAGCAGGTCAGAGCAGGAAGGGCTTGTGGATATCATCGCATGCACCAGTGACAAGAAGGGGCCCTTGCGCTGAGCTCGCCCTTCCCGCTGGCACTGCGTCAGTGGAGGAGGTAGAACTTGAAGGATTGTTAGAATCTGGTTGTTACACACTGTGTGTCCAAAGGATGGAGGCTTGGCCATCTATACAACATTATTTCACCAGCCTAATGCCAACACACACACACGCATGCACGCACACGCACACATGTACACACACACAGGGCAGGCCATCGGTACAGACAGATATGCAGTTAGGAAGAGAAATGGTGGGCATTCCCTCTGGCCTGATGGCTCACTAGCTTGTGGAGGGCAGCACCACACTTCCCCTTCTCAGTCCTTCCACCGTGCCTGGATCTCTCCTTTGACCTCTCTGTTCTCTCCACACCCCTCCCCCCAACAGGTACCGGCACATCTCAGCTGGTGGAAGGTTTGAACCCCGCGGCCTCCAGCTCATGCCCAATCCACTTCCAAATGACTTAGCCAGGAGCTGGCCCTGCCCAAACCCTCAGCCTCATTACCAGGAGAAGGCACTGAAGCTGGCCTTGCTGCCCAGTGCACCCCTGAGCCAGGACCTTGTGAAGAAGTACCAAACCCTGATAGAGGACCGGGTTGCCTTGCCCCTCCACCATCTCTCCAAGGCACAACCTGGCAAAGCCTCAGTGAGAAAGAGAACGAGAAGACCTGGATACATCTAGAGGAGCCTCCAGATGGGTGGGGATCACGGTGAGCACACAGACCTCCAGGCTCCAGTGTTCTCAGCCAATGCACCTTCAGCAAGGGGCCTTTGGGGTGGCTGAAGGACTCTGGCGGCTGCAGAACAGAGCCTCTCCACCATCCCCCCAACTTCAAGCCACCTCTGTACCCCAGGCTCCTAGAGACTCTACTGAAACTCTCAATTGTTATCTGTCTTCTTTGGAGGACTCTCTCATAGCAGGTGCGAGGACTGGTGGGGGAATAGAGCAGAGAGGGTTCCAGTTCCTAGGGACAGACAAGGAGTGGGGAGGAACAAGGCTGTGTGTGTGTGTGTGTGTGTGTGTGTGTGTGTGTGTGTGTGTGTTGGGGCAGGGGAAGAGGTGCTGTAAGAAATATGGGTAATAAGAAGTTACCTCCATTCCCATAACCCATTTGGAACAAGACTGGGATTGGTCAGGGTATGGGAAGCTTCTCAGGCAAAAATAACCTCAATTCCACCTCTCCCTGGACCATCTGATGTCTGGACAAAGAAGAGAAGCAACTCTGCTGGGTTGCAGTTCCCCCGCCGGGGTTGGGGGAGAGGAGGTCAGGCCAAGGCTGGTGCTAGAGAATGGAAGAGTCAGGTCTGGGGAAAGCTGACCAGGCCTCCATGGAGGGACAGTAGAACAAAGTAGACAGTCAAGGTGAAAGTCAGAGCGGTCACCCCAGAGCATTACTTTAGGGCCTTGGCCTGTGTTGCAGTTGACCCCAGACGCTTTTACGATGGAGGGGCCAGAGACAAGTGACCTAAAGTGGAGGCAGGCAAAGTGCATTGGTCAGAAAGGTGCTGACCCTGGCAGGGTGGAGACCCGGTGGGAGAGGGCCTGCGGGAGGTCTGGTGGAGATGGCAGCTGGGAGGTGGCTGGAGAGGGAGCCACCTGCCTCCTCTTGCCCCATCACACCCCAAGTTGGTGATCTTCCCTAGCTGGGCTTCTCTTGGCTTTCTGCCCACTGCCCTCTTACCCTCCTTTTTGCAAGCCCTGTGGGCACCTGGGAATCAAAACACCAGCAGAAGGGGCAGCCCCGTGGTTGAGTGGTTAAATTCGCGCGCTCCACTGCAGCATCCCAGGGTTTCACAGGTTCAGATCCTGGTCGCGGACATGGCCCTGCTCATCATGCCACGCTGAGGCCACGTCCCACATGCCACAACTAGAAGGACCCACAACTGAAAATATACAACTACGTACTGGGGGGCTTTGGGGAGAAAAAGGAAAACAAACTAAAACAAAACAAAACGCCAGCAGGGCTCCAGCCCTGGTTTAACCACTAACTGGCCATGTGACCTTCGGAAGGTCATTATTCCCCTCAGACTTTCAGTTTCCTCATCCGCACAATGGGAGCCCCTAGGGGATAAATAAGTGAAATAAATAAAATAACGTAAGTAAAGAATGTGCAAAGTATCTGACACATTGTAGGCCCTCCAGAAATGAAGCTATCAACTATTATTCACAGAATAACAGTAATAAATGGGTAGAAAACGATTCAGCCATAAAGAGGAGCGAAGGACTGATACATGCTACAATGTGGACGAACCTTGAAAACGTCATGCTGAGCAGAAGCAGCCAGACACATAAGGCCACCTATTGTGTGATTCCATTTATATGAAATATCCAGCATAGGCAAATCCATAGAGACAGAAGGTAAACTGGTGGTTACCAGGTGCTGGGGGAGGGGGGAACAGGGACTGATTACTTAATGGATACAGGCTTTTCTTTTGGGGTGATGAAAATATTTTGGAACTAGATAGAAGTGGTGGTTGCAGAACATTGAGAGTGAAAGAAATGCCACTGAGCTGTACACTTTATTTATTTATTATTATTTTTTTTTGGAGGAAGGTTAGCCCTGAGCTAACATCTGCCACCAATCCTCCTCTTTTTGCTGAGGAAGACTGGCCCTGAGCTAACATCCATGCCCATCTTCCTCCACTTTATATGTGGGACGCCTACCACAGCATGGCTTGCCAAGCAGTGCCATGTCCGCACCCGGGATCCAAACCAGCGAATCCCGGGCCTCCAAAGTGGAACGTGTGCACTTAACCGCTGTGCCACCAGGCGGCCCCTAAACTGTACACTTTAAAATGACAAATTTTATGTTATGTGAATTTCACCTCAATTAAAAATAGTTATAATAAATAGGGTGTATATGGAGAGTTTCCAAATTTCCCTCCAGTTCCAAATCTGTAATTTTATTCCACATTCCTTCTCCATGCTACCTCTCCCCATGGAATGTTCCCGGGGTGGGGGGGGGGGCGTGGATGGGGAGGACCAGAGTTGAAGGGTCAAGGAGCATTTCCAGAGTTCTCCAGAGGATTGCTGGGGCTCTGGGAACGTACCCATTCTCCCCACTCTGGATCAGGAATGATGGTGGAAAGGCAGAAGTCCCTTTACATAGGCCCCTAACACATCAGAGCTGGGCAGGCCCTTAGGAAACAAGTCGAACCCTCTCAGTGTTCAGATGGTAAACAAAGGCCCTTCGGAGTGGCTTGCTCCAGGCCACATAAAGTCTGGCAGTCCCTGCCCTCCTGGTGGTAGAACAGGAGGCACCGGGCTGGGAGCTAGGACTCCAGGGCCTGTGTTGTCATCCTGCTTCTCAGGCTACTTGCCCATGATGTCACCTCCACAAGGAGAGCCCTGGGGGTACTTAGAGGGTTAATATGAAGATCTGGGGGGTAGAAGGATGAAGGCCATTTCTTCAGAGGAAGCTGCCCACTCTTTGGCACGGAGCTAGGGCAGAGCAGGAAGGTAACCTGCCCTTACCCAGACTCCTGCCTTAGCAGACCCAGACCACCTGAGGCTGCTAGCCTCACGTCAAAAAGACTTCCACCTCACCCAGCACCTTCCAGCTCTGCCCTCTGGACAGCAGCCTCCTTCCTGCTGGGGGGAGGGGGGATTATAACATTATCAGGGGCTCCGTGTCCATGGGCCAGCCAGAGATACAGAAACCAGACTGAACTCCAGGAAGCCATGGAGATCTGAGGGACAAAAATAGCATCCATACGTCCTCCTGGGCCTGGGGCTTTTCTAAGGCAATCCCCAGCTCAGCCTGCCAGCAACCATGAACACCACCCCCTCCCCGCTCCCTCTCACATACACTAAGGAATATGGAGTTCTTGAAAACCTTTAGTGGGGTAGAGTGGGGGTGGTTCCTGTAACCTGGGCCTGCCTTAAAGACCTACTCTTTCACCACTACTTTTGAGAGTTGATCTGAGAGGGAAGCAGGGATGGACGCCCCTCCCCCGACATACCCAGCACCACACCCCCCAGAACACCCTGTGCTCTGCTGAATGCCACTATCTTCATGGACACTAATTAATCCCAGCACAGAGGCCTTCAAAGCCACTTCTGGGTCAACACCTCCCCTCCCGCAACCTCCCTCTCCCTAAGCCTGGTATTGGTGTCAGGAGCTGGGTTGCCGAGGCCAGTTCAGGTTCCTGAGTTGCTCGGGGCCTGAGGAATGGTGGCGGGGGGTCAGCGAGCACTGGAAGCTGTGGGAGCTGGGAAGTCCTAGGGGAGACGCAGGGCCGGCCACATGCCAATCACGGTCTTCAGTCTTCATTCTTCAGCTGGCTGTCTGCCAGGGTTGTTGTCCTAATTGCCATGCCACATTGCTGCTCCCTGAGATGACAAATCAGAGCCGAGATCCTCTCTCCCTGCTCTAGACTCGCTCCCCACCTTCGCTGGGACTCTGCCTCTCGTTTCTACTCAGCGCTGACTCACTTGCGCCAAGCCCTTTGTCTTCTTGCTGCTCTTCCACCTCTGAGCCCTGTTCTCGTCGTACTGTCCCCTGAGCCACATACATTTACCCCTTTTGTGACACAATGTAAATAATTACTTCTGCCTATTTATCATTATATTTGGTGGTTTCTGTGGCTGTTCACAGAGCTGTCCATCTCATGTTAGTCTCAAGCCAACACACTCTCTGCAGGTCCCAGGCCAGAACCTCAGAAACGCCTACATGCTTTGAAGATAATGCTGCTGCATCTTGCCATCATTCAAACTCCAAAGTAGCAGTTTTGACATGTGGCTTCCCACCATCGTTTTCACTGGATGTTTGCTGAACACTGACACTAGGTGTCATGACCCGGTTACTAGGTAATGGTCAGTGACTCCTTTAGCACCTCTTTAGGTCATGTCCAGGGGTGCAAGCACAGACCCAAAGCTTAGGCAAAGAGGAAGGAAAAAAATGAAGGGAAATGGAAGCAGGAAAGAAAGTAGATAAACACAAAACGGAGGAAGAGAAATGCTGAAGCCAGAGGAAAGACGAAACAGGAGTCTCTGTTGGAGCTCAGAGGTTCAGAATGTTTGGAAGGAGCTGGACAACTTTGCCAGATTCTCTGAGGGCACTTGCAGGATCAAGACTGGGGCACAGAGCCCAGGGGACGAGAAGAGCTGGCAAATGAGTCCCAGGGTGCAAGAGAAAGGGAGTGATAGAAAGGGGTCTTGTGTGATTGCCTGTGGCATCAGTCGGATGCTGTGACTGAAAAGACCAGCTGGGGAGCTCAGTCGGCTGTCCTAGTGTCTCGTCACCTGAGTAGTTGGGGTAATAACAGCATGTTTCCTCCTGGTCCTCTGGAGTCCTGCTCAACAATTCATTCCACAAATTTTGTATAAGAAGAAGGAGAGGAGACAAAAAAAAAGACCCTGTCCTTCTAAAGCCCAGGATCTAGTGGGAAGATGGATAAGTAAACAATTAAAAATAGTGTGATAAATAATGTAATAGGTACCTGATCCAGTTGTACCATGAGAACAAAGGGGAGAGGCATTGAAGTCAGAGTGTGCACGTGTGTGTGCGAGCACATGCAGACGTATGTGCATGTACAGCCCCAAACGACAGCAAACATCTACTCAGTACTTACTATGTGTTAGGCAATGTTTTGAGAGCTTTTCTTGAATCAGCCCATTTAATCCTCACAACACTCTGAGGTGGGTCCCATTATGATCTCCATTTTAGAGATGAGTAAACTGAGGCATAGAGAGCTCTTAACCATTTTTGCTATTCTGCCTCTCATTTAAACTTCATGGTAATTCTGCAGATGACATCTTATTTCAATTTCACAGATGGGGAAATAGGTTCCAAAAGATTAAGCACTTCACCCAAAGCCACCCAGTTAGTAAGTGACTGAGTTGGAATACTTGACCAAGCTTGTCTGAGTTCAACATCCTGA